GTAAACACTGGATGACCAGTTCCAAGTCAGGTCAACCTAATGATTTATTTCAACAGCTGATGGTTTTCCTAGCAGTGGAAATCTCCATCTTTTCAGCTTGGTTTGGAGCTGGCTGGACAGCACCGGAAAGGGGAAGAGTTCATGGGCTTTGCACAGAGTCATTAGAAATAGGGTTCTGAACTTGGCTATCTGCAGATAAGCTTTCAACGGTGAGGTATTCCTGGCTCCAACCTGCTTGCCACTGCTAATTTCATGCCCTGTGATCCAGGTAACGCACTAGTGCTTGCTTCGTCACCCAGGGCTTCAGCTCCTTTCTTTAGCTCAGCAGGAGCCCGGAGATGCCTCTGCTGCTGAATTTAAGCTGACTAAAATTTTACTTTGCCAAAGCATCTGGGCAGGACATGGCTGGCTTTTCCTAGCAGCCAACAGTATTTGCTGTGTGGGGAACATAAACATAGGAATGCTTAAATATCCAGTATGATTACCGGTGCAGAAATATTGTTTGGTTTGGATGAAGAAGCAATTAGGTACCGTACTAACAGGCCATTCCATCACCATATCCTTAAAATAGCTTGGATTTTGATTAGGTTGATAAGTTGGATGTGAGAGCTTTTTTTTCCTCAGGGAAAGCTGATTGAGCCGGCTTCTCCGCAATTTTCGCAAGCGATCTTTTCACACATCAGGATTTTGCATGTTCCTGTTCTCCTAAATGAATGAAGGGAGTCTGTGGGAATTAAGCCACAGGGTTTGGAACAGCCCTCTTGATTTTTAGGCCTCCCATCCTATAAGTAAGTTAGGGGACATAAAAGTATTACCTGGACTGTCTGAATCATAACGTGCCAATGTTAGTGATGTGTGACAGTATTTCTCAACCTTAGCGACTTAAAGAAGTATGGACTTCAACTTCCCAGCATTTCCCAGTCAGCTATGAAGAACAGGAATAGGAATAGGGAATAGAGAGTAGAATACAAGAATAGAATGGAATGGAATAGAGAATAGAGAGGAGAGGAGGAGAGGAGAGGAGAGGAGAGGAGAGGAGAAGAGAAGAGAAGAGAAGAGAAGAGAAGAGAAGAGAAGAGAAGAGAGGAATGGAATAGGAATAGGAATAGGAATAGAGAATAGAGAATAGAGAATAAAATACAAGAATAGAATAGAACGGAATGGAATGGAATAGAGATTAGAGAATAGAACAGAACAGAACAACAGAGTTGGATCTTGGAAATCTTCTGAAGTCCATACATCTTAAAGTTGCCAAGGTTGAGGAAAGACTGATCTGTAAGATACCAAAGGCATGTAGACATAGAGCTTTCCTCAATCCTTGAAAAGATTTCTAGCTTTAAAAAAGAAGGAAATGTTTTATAAACAGATGGTCAGCATGCTTCAGAATGCTGCCACAGATGATGGTAGGTATAAGCAGAATAGTTTGGGTGAATTTCAGCCTTTTCTTAGTAGTGCTAGAATTGAATGACAGCCATATTCAGTTTAATTTGTACGAGAGAAGTACATAACTTTTCCCCAACAATTCTATTAAAGATCACATTGAACCAAAGGGACTTTTTTCCCCCCCAAAAGGCAATTGGCCTTTTTTTTTGGGGGGGGGGGGAGTTGAAGATGTTTTGCTTCTCACTCAAGAAGCTTCTTCAGTTCTGAATGAATTTCTTCAAAACTGAAGAAGCTTCTTGGATGAGAAGCAAAAATGCCTTCAAGCAAAAACAAAGGAAGTCCAGTTGCTTTTTGGAAGCAAAAAAAATAAAATAAAATAAAAGCACCTTTGGGGCAACCATGGCCTAGATGACTGATAATCCCCATACAGAGTATATTGAACAAATAAAATTTTCAAAGTTTTTCTTTAAATCAGTTTCACAAAACCCTGTCATTTAAACTTTTTCCCGAAACAACTCACCCCTTTGCTGAATATTGCAAAAAATAAAGATCTTACAAAGCTGAAAAGAGATTATTTTCTTCCTTTTTAGACAGACTGCAGTGAAACTCACACAGTGGCTGGTAGGCTTGTGGGTCCTAAAGGTTTTTCAATCTTAAAAAGGCAATTAAAAAATAAAGCTCCAAAGGGAGTAAAAAGATGAGGCTTGGTCAAACCTTGAATCCATCGAAGGCTGCATTTATGGCTCAGAGCACAACAGAACCCATGACTACCAGCTGACTCCAAGGGGCTGCAAAAACTTCAACTCTGCAATCTATTCACAAAAAAAAAAAAAATCAGCAGATTAGAGTAAATATGGTCAATCTCTAGATCTCTTTATTCCAGGGAAAATTTTGTAAGTCTGAATCTCACAACCAGCTGCCTTCTTGGCTTTATTGCCCCCACGATCCACAGTGTAGAGAAAAATGTGGGCATTTGTTTGCCTTGTCACACTAGAAGTTGGGAGTTATAATCTTATTTTTTTGGATAGACCAATAGTAGGTTTTGGTCAAGAATTACCTGGAGCCCCTAGTGAGGAAGACCAGATACAAACTAAAATAGAATTTAATATGATTAACTAAATGCATTTAATCCCTTTGTATTCATATAGTTGCACACACAAACACAGAAAGAAAGAAAGAAAGAAAGAAAGAAAGAAAGAAAGAAAGAAAGA